CTCGGCCCTATGCCATTCTTTCCAGGCCAGATTGAAGGAGGCCCTTTCCCATTATGAAATTTGCCCTGTTTTGCTGGGTTCCTGGACAGAGCAGGAGACCAGCGCCCAAAGCCGTATCTTTGGCGAAATGATGGACCAGGTTGAATACGCCGAAGAGGTGGGCTTCGACTCTATCTGGATTGCTGAGCACCACTCCAGTCGGTACGGCATCTGTCCTTCCCTGATGCCGCTGCTCAGCCACATCGCCGCCCGCACCAGCAAAATCCGTCTCGGGGCCGGTGTCAGCGTCCTGCCCTTCCATAATCCCATTTTCCTGGCCGAAGAGGCAGCGATGCTGGATGTGCTAAGCAACGGCAGGCTGGACTTCGGGGTTGGACGCGGTTCTGCGGACTACGAGTACGGCAACTTCAATATCGACTTTGAAACCCGGGACGTGCGAACCCAGGAGGCCCTGGATATTATCCTGGGGCTGTGGACCCAGTCCGACTTCAGTTTTGACGGCGAATTCTACCAGGTGAGGGACCTTACAATAGCTCCCTCGCCGGTGCAGCAGCCTCATCCCCCGGTGTACCTGGCCGTGTCCCGCACCCCGGCCAGCGTTGACGTTGCCGTCGAGCGAGACCTGCCCATCCTGACCAGCTTCTCTACCCCGGAGGCAGATAACCTGGGCCTCTTTTCCCTCTATGCTGAACGCTGCGCCGCCGCTGGAAAGGAACTGCCGGTGGAGGATATGCCCTATTTCCGGTTTGTGTACCTGGATGAAGAAGAACAGGCGGCCCGGGAATACCCCCGGCAGTCCCTGACCTGGGTACGGGACCTGGGCGGTTACCGGCGTACCATCACCCACGGCGACGAAATCAACATGGACCTGGACCACTGGCGCCGGACTCGCACCGCGGAACCGGCCAGCTATGAGTCAGAGCTTGATACTACCTGCTACTTCGGCACGCCGGAGCAGTGCGTGGAGCGGATTACTAAACTGCGGGACGAACACGGCATCGGGTACTTCGGCGCCAGCATGTCCTTCGGTAGTATGGAGCACTCAAAGGTAATGCAGTCAATGGAGCTCTTCGCCAGGGAAGTGATGCCCAGGTTTCGGTAATGGAACCTGACCACCGTCTCTCGCCAGTTCCAGCAGACTGCCCCGGTTTTGAGGATTATTTCGTGCCAGTCGACCTGGGCGTCACGCTGAAGCGCCGGGATATAGTTGAGGCGATGCACGGCGAACCCTCGTGGGTCCAGTTCGTGGGTACAGATGGAACGCTGCCGCAGCACTCTCCACCGCGCTGAAAGGAAACACAATTAATGGGCATTCCCGAAAAACCTGGAAACGTAGCCGTTATTGGAGCCGGCATCCTGGGCGCCTCCATCGCCTGGCGACTGGCCCAGCGCGGCGTTCACGTCACGCTGATCGACAAGGGCCAGCCGGGGCACGGCGCGTCGAGTCACAGCTTTGCGTGGATCAACGCCGGGGCGAAGGAGCCCATTGGCTATCACGACCTGAACCGCCGTTCGCTGGATATGTGGCCCCGTTTCGCCGCCGGCATCGGCGATCTTGGCGATCCGGAAAGCGTCGGCCTCCGTTGGGGCGGCAAGGTTTCCTGGGTAGCCGACCCGTTGGCCGCCGAAGGGTTGGTTGCCCGGGTTCGTCAGCTCCAGTCCTGGGGCTATCCGACTCGCCTGATCGACGCCGACGAGCTTAAGCGCCTGGAACCCGTGCTGGAGGTTGGCCCGGTCGCCGCCGCCGAGTACAGTCCCAATGAGGGCCAGGTGGAGCCGCAAATGGTGGTAGATGCCTGCCTGCGCCGCCTTCAGGAAATGGGTTGTGCAGTTCATGCCGACACGGAAGTTGAAGGGTTTGAGCAGTCTGAGGATGGCCGAATCCACGGCCTGGTAATCTCTTCGGGTTCCTTACGAGTGGATGCGTTGGTCATAGCCGCGGGCACCGACACCACCCGTTTGGCGGCCCTGGCCGGCGTAAACGTGCCGCAGGCGGAAAGCCCCGGCGTGGTAATAAGGACTAACCCGCTGCCGCCCCTGCTCCCAAACGTGCCGGTGGTGTACGCGCCGCCCTTGGGCGACGGCCGCCGGGAGATTCACATCCGCCAGTGCGCCGATGGACGCCTGATGATCGGCGAAGGCGACCAGGAGAGCCTGGCCGAAGATGACAACCAGGCCCACGCCGACGACCTGCTGGCCCGGGCCTGCCGCTACTTGCCGGGACTCAACGGTGCCCAGGCCGTTCCCGTGCCGGTGGGCTGGCGTCCCATGCCCCTGGACGGCTATCCGGTAAATGGGGTTTGCGTCCGAAGCACCAAACCTGTACGTGGCCCTCACCCACAGTGGCGTTACCCTGGCTCCGGCGTTGAGCCAGTTGGCTGCCCAGGAAATCTGCGACGGGACTCCGGCAGACGCAGTACTGAGCCCCTACCGCCCGCAGCGGTTCGCCGGTCTGACGCCCGAGCAAGTGGCGGCCGCCACCCATCCCCGCGCCTCTAAGAGAGGCTGACCAACCAGGCAACGCCGTCCACCACCAAGTGTCCCGGCGTTGTTCCAAAAGCCCTAGTCGTAACCAAAGCCTGTGAGTTGTACCAAAAGGAAACCCTCACCGACCGTAGGTGAGGGTTTAGTTCGGGAGTGTAGGCAGCTTTTGCCTAGAAACGTGGCCGGAAACCCCGATTCTCTCCGAGCGGTCATTTTCCTCAACGTCGTTTGTCGATGGTTTGTTGGTTTTCTGAGACGTTTATTATACGCCACTATGCCCTATAAGACCGTAAACCGTCTCCGTTTATCAGCAGTAAACGGGGCCAATGGCTTTCCGGCCAGACTTCTAGTGTCCTGTATCCAAAGTACGTTGGCAAAAGCGGGCAACGTTGGCCAGTATTTGGTCGGCGGTCTGGGTCCAGACAAAAGGTTGGGGATCTTCGTTGGTGACGTCCAGATAGCGGTAGATGGCAGCCTCAGTTCGGCGCTGCTCTGATGCACGCCGCGGTCGCAACTGCTTTCGGTGAGCAGACCGAACCAGCGCTCCACCAGGTCAGCCAGGAGCGCTGGTGGGTGTGAAGTGCATATGGAAACGGCCGCTTGGCCAGCCAGTTGCGGATCAGCGCCGTCTTGTGGGTGGCGTCGTAGTTGTCCGCGATCAGGTGGACGTCGAGGTCGGCGGCACCTCGCCTCGATGGTATCGAGGGAATTTGCGGAACTCCACGGCCCGGTGCCGTTGGTGGCAACGCACCAATCACCTTGCCGGTACTGCGGTGTCCAAGGCGGCGAACAGCGAAGTGGTGCCGTGACGCAGATAATCATGGGTGCGCCGTTCCACCTGTCCCGGGCGCATGGGCAATAGCGGACGGGTGCGATCCAACGCCTGGATCTGGGACTTCTCGTCCACGCACAGGACCAACGCCCGATCCGGTGGTGGGTTGAGGTATAGCCCCACAACGTCCCTGACCTTCTCGATGAAGAAGGGGTCTGCCGACAGCTTGAAGGTCTCCGTGCGGTGGGGCTGCAATCCGAAGGCTCGCCAGATGCGGCTGACCGTGTTGTGGCTCAGCCCGCTGCGCTGGGCCATGGACCGGGTGCTCCAGTGGGTCGCGTCCTTGGGGGTGGTCTCCAGCGTCAGCGTAATCACACGCTCCACGTGGTCATCGGTAACCGCTCGAGGCCGTCCGCTGCGCGGTTCGTCCGACAGTCCGTCCAGCCTCCGTTCCAGGAAGCGGGAACGCCACTTCCCACCGTCTCATCGGACACTCCCAGGTCGGCGCCCACCGTGGTATTGCTGCGGCCATTCGGCACAGCCCAAATCATTCTGGCCCGCAGCGCCAAAGCTTGCGCGTTTTCGGACGGCGAACCCACCGTCACAGGGTTTCACGCTCCACCTCATCCAAAATTACCGGCGGCATTGGTCGTCCGATTGCCATGGTCATCCTCCTCTGGATTGCTAACCCGGAGGATACCTCATCGTGAATACTATTACAACTGACTTCAGTTACACCACACTAGTGTCCTGTATCCAAAGTACGTTGGCAGAAGCGGGCAACGTTGGCCAGTATTTGGTTGGCGGTCTGGGTCCAGATAAAAGGTTGGGATCTCGTTGGGACGTCCAGATAGCGGTAGATGGCATCCTCCAGTTCGGCGCTGCTCTGATGCACCCACGGCCGCAACTGCTTTTCGGTGAGCAGACCGAACCAGCGCTCCCACCAGGTTCACCCAGGAGGCGCTGGTGCGTGTGAAGTGCCTATGGAAACGGGGTCGCGCTGGGCAGCCAGTTGCGGATCAGCGCCGTCACTGTGGGTGGGCGTAGTTTGTCCGCGATCAGGTGGACGTCGAGGTTGCGGGCACCTCGGCCTCGATGGTATCGAGAATGCGGAACTCACGGCCGGTTGCCGTTGGTGCAACGACCACATCACCTTGCCGGTCCTGGTCGTACAAGGCGGCACAGCGAAACGCCTCCTCGCCCTTTTTCGGCAACGCACCTCCTTCCATTACAGCTCCACTCTGACAGAAACAAAAATTTCCTTCCCGTCCAACACCACCTCTCTTATCAGAACCCACTCTTCCCTCCTCTTTCACAATCTACCCTCGTTTACTAACCTCCCAACTCCTTATCTAAATAACCAAAAAGGCTATACTCTCCCCGACGACTTCGCCACCGCCACTTATTCGCACGCACACGGCTCCTACCAGTCCTCTCTCCACCCAGAACTCCCCCTTTCTATCAATACGTGCCTAGACCTTCTTACTGTCCCCTCTTAACCCCATACTCCACATTCAAGGCGTTACCTTTAATTATCTTCTCCAGGAGGTCGGTTCTTAGGGAACCATTACTTCAGTCACAACACGCCACACAAAGTGGTGCCGGGAGCAGGTAATACACGTGTAATCATGGGTGTGCGCCGCTTCCAATTCAAACTGTCCAGGGCGCATGTGCAATAGCGACGGGGTGCGATCCAAGGCCTGGATCTGGGACTTCTCGCACACGGCAAACGGAACCACAACGCCGAATCCGTTGAGGTATAGCACCCACAACGTCCTGACCTTCTCGATGAGAATGGGTCTGCCGACAGCTTGAAGGTCTCCGTGCGGTTGGGCTGCAATCCGAGGGCTCGCCAGATGCGCTGACGCTGTTGTGGCTCAGTCACAGCTGCGCTGGGCCATGGCCGCGGAGTGCTCCAGTGGTCGCGTCCTGGGGATGGGTGGTCTCCAGCGTCCAGCGTAATCACACCGCTCCACGTGGTCATCGCGTCCAACCGCCTCGAGCCGTCCGCTGCTGCGGTCGTGCCGACGAGTCCGTCCAGCCTCCGTTCCAGGAAGCGGGACGCACTTCACACCGTCTCATCGGACACTCCCAGGTCGGCGCCCACCGTGGTATTGCTGCGGCCTTCGGCACAGCCCAAATCATGCTGGCACGCAGAGCGCCAAAGCTTGCGCCGTTTTCGGACGGGCGCGACCCACCGTACCAGCTTCCACGCTCCACCTCATCCAAAATTACCGCGGCAGTGGTCGTCCGTATTGCCATGGTCATCCTCCTCTGATGCTAACGGAGGATACCTCATCGTGAAGACTATTACAACACTGCAACTTCAGTTACACCACACGAGCTGTCAATCAGCAGGGATCAGCGAGATGCGTCACATCACCAGACGCGTAGCCTCCAGGCCGGTACAAGGGGCATCATCTCGTTCCTCGTGCCAAGACTGGCGGCCTGGTTACAGTAGCATAGTTAGGATGCTTGTCTGAGCTCTCTGTCGTCAGTGGTGAAAGTCAACAGTACGCTGTCCTTCACCGAATCAGGTGCGCCAGGTACGTTCACAGCCTCATCAGGAAACGGAAACAGGGATATGTGAGGCGCCGTCCTTAGCCGAATCCACGATGGGAGGCGTGACGAAGGCCAGGCAAGATTGGATGAGGGAGCCTACCAGGGAGAGAGGAGCCTGGGCTCCATGGGACCGATGTGACACGCGAGAGGTCAGAGGGTTTTCAGTAAAGTAGCGCACGGGCTTCGAGAGCGGAGGGTCTGGGAACACGCTGGGAATCGCGTTGATAGTGACGATTGAGCGCAGCAGGATACGCTCGCGGCGCGGGCGGAGCGCGTAGTTGGAGGGTGCGTTGGGTCGGTTTGCGGATGCGCCGTCAGGACGGGCGCGGCAGGCGCGCGCGCAATCGGGGCCAGGGCGCGGCTGAACGCTCCTCCAGGGCCAGCCCGGGGAAGATGACAGGGTGCGAGTCGGCGTCGCCGTGAGCGTGAAGAATTTAATGTATTTATATTTTTTAGTTTTTAAAAAACCGTCCGGCCATAGAGAAGAAGCGTCGCCTCCCCGCAGGGTCTTGGTGGTCACCACGGTGACCTCGCCCAGACCGATGCGCGCTCGCGCAACGGGCGATTAGTATGCGCACAGCACCTGGACCGCCAGCAGGCGCCGTTGCGCCGCAGAAGCGTCCCGAGGAGATGGTGAAGCCCACGCCGTACTTCAGGTCCGATGGCATTTCTCAGATCTCGGGCGTGGCCGGCGGTGGTCGGCCTCACGTTCAGGGTGTCGCCAGTACGCGGTCGGTGTGTGAATTGAGCCGTGATATAGCGGTTGTAGGTGGCGGAATAGGGCCAGAGTTGGGGACCGCGGCGCGGGCTTCACCCGCCGGACGGATGAGCACGCACGGCGCAGCAGCGGCCTCGCTACGGAAATGGTGTGTATCCGCCTCGGCCACCAAGTCGGCGGCGCCACGTCCATCATAGGGGATGGGCCTCCAGGCATCCTCAGTATGGCTCGATGAGCTGCGCAACTGGGCGTGACCCTGGCGCACGTGATGGAGATGAAGCGGACCTTCATCGTGCGGCAGAGGGCGACGATTGAAGGTTGATTTTGTGTGTAGAATTGTAGAAGCCGCTGTCGGCCGCACCGCTGAGTTGCCCCTGGCCCCTGGGCCAATATAACGCACACCGTCCCACCGTCTCTCCGCAGGAAGTGGGCGGCGGAGCCAGCCAGCGGTGTGGACGGCCCCTCCGCAGCCGACGGCGACATCAGCACGTCGCCGGCTTCCGGCGGCCACGGCCAGCCACGGGGATGCTGATAGCACCGCTGGCCCAGTGTCGCCATGAAGTCTGTGTCGCGCACCTCCTTGGCCAGGCCGTAGCGTCTCGCAGATGGTGGAGTCCAGTGTCGATGGTCACGGCCCCCGTCGCCGGGTCCGGCACCGGCGGCCCAGGAACGGGCCAGCAACTCGCGGCTTACTCGGTCCAACTGCGGACGTGGACAACCGGAAGCTGGCAGGAAGTGCCAAGGTGGAGGGGCGCTTTGACCATGCACCCCAGCACTGAGGAGGTCAGCGCACGCAGCGCATCGGCGTCGTCAATGCAGTCGCCACCAAGCCAGGGCGGAGGCCCCAGCGTCATTATCTGTCGCCGGTGTTGGCTCGGCCTGGGGCCCGGCCCAGGTACAAATACCGGTCAACCAGTTGGGGTAAGCCCAGGTGCTGGGCCAGGATGGCCGGAAGGATCAGCCCGGCATGTTGACCAGGCGGTGGTCGTCGAAGGCGATTTGGATGCGGTCGGGGTGCCCTAGTGGTAGCATCTAAAGGTGCTCCTTTTTCCGGGGTCGGTTTCCGATTCAAAAACCATTATCCCCAGATTCAGGGGAGAACCATCTTACCCCTTCAGCACCTCTTATTCCCCACTCCTCGGTGGATTCGGGTTAAGGCCCAACGGTACTATCTTGGCTCTGAGCGCTTCAATACACGGGTAACACCACAACCCCCCATTACCCCACTCAGCTTTAGTACATATCATCAAGGGTAGTTCTTCCTGTACGACCCGCTGCCACCGGCGGACGGAATGACCATTGGACTGACAGCACATAGGCGTTACACCCAAAGAACTGCTGTCGCTAGGTGGTAAGTCCTGGGTCTCCACTATGTGGTGTTTTCTGGCCCTACCGCCTTTTACGATACACGCTCGCGTAGGAATGTCCTCGCTGGCCATCGTCCGAGTGCCACGGATATATACCAAGCCGTCGTAAGTTATCCCTCCCATAGGCAGTGATAGGGGACCATCGTCACTGAACTTGTAGTGCTTGAAACCTGGCGGCTTCAAGTCTGGGGGAAGATAGTTGATTGAAGGGGGAGTCCATAAGACCATTCGACCTCACCTAGACCGTTTCTTTACGCCTGAGCTTGTAAGGCCGGTCCCAATTAGCACTCTTACAGTGGGGGCAGGTGCGAGGCCGGTAAGAACCTGTCTGGGACGCCAGGTGCCCGCCACCAACATATTAACTACCTGCCCCTTAAACTCCCACTCGTCCCCTCTCAGCTACGCCTGTACAAAAAGCCACATAGTTGTACAAAAAGTCGGTCTCAAAGGGGTACTTTTTGTGCAAAGCCACCTTCCCCGATCAAGGAGGAAGGCCCTTTTGAGATAGTTTCCATGTCCTACATGGCCAGGGCGTAGCAGGCGCGCCGCGGGTCGGCGCCGGTGCTGAGAGTACCGCTAGCCTCGTCCCGGACCGAGACGGTGGCTCCCAGGCCGCAGTTGGCGACTCGCTCTATTTTGTGTCCCAAGGCCCGCAACGCGTCCGCAGTGGACTCTGGTATTCCCTCCTCCAGGTCTAGCTGGCCCGGATAATACACATGGGGATAGAAGGAGTTGACATTGCTGGCCGTGGAGAACCGGGGAGCCTCCACCGCCTGCTGGGGGTCCATCCCGAACACCAGGGTGTTGAGCATCAACTGGACGTTGGCCTGTACTTGGTTGTCGCCGCCGGGACAGCCCACGGTCATCTGGGGTTGTCCATCCCTGGCGACGATGTAATTCACCAGGGTAGTCCTGGGACGCTTGCCGGGTTCGACCACGTTAGGGTGGCCGGGTTCGCAGTTGAACATCTCGATGCGTGTGCTCAGGGCGCAACCCAGTTCGGGGAAGAATACTGACTTGGAGAAAGAACCCCCGCTGATGGTGCCGCAGGCAAGGTTGCCGCGCCGGTCCAGGACGGAAACGTGAGTTGTTCCGTCGTCGGCTGACTGGTCGGCTATGGCCAAGGCTGGCTCGGACATGACGGGGGCCGCGGTGGTGCCATCGTGTTTGGAGAAGCGCCAGGGGTCGCCAGCCGGAGGTTGGGCCGGGTACGCGCCTTCGGGGTCAATCAACTGGGCGCGCTCGGCAGCGTATTCCTTTGACAGCAGGCCGTCCAGTGGGACGGTGGCGTATCCGGGATCGGCGTAGAAGGCCTCCCGGTCTCCGAAACTCAGCTTCAGGGCCTCAGTTACGGTATGAATGTAGGCCGGGCTATTGTGACCCATTGCCTTGAGATCGAAGTTTTCCAGGATGTTCAGTGTTTGCATCAGCATGGGGCCCTGAGACCACGAGTCCTGGCCGTTGATTTCGTAACCCTGGAAGCTGCCGCCAACGGGAGTTTCAAACTGGCTGCGGTAGGATGCAAGATCCTCCGTGGAAATTATGCCGCCGGCCCTTGTCGAACACTCGGCGATCAGCCCCGCTATAGGGCCACGATAAAAGACGTCGCGAGCGGCCTGCATCCGCTGTGAACGCTCTCCTTGGGCCTCTATCGAAGCGTCACTGAGGGCCCTCAGGGTGTTGGCCAGTCCGGGCTGCACCAACAGGGAACCGGCCGGCGGAACCTCCCGGTCCTGGTAGAACACGTCCCAGCCGCCGGGCGGGAAGTTGTCGAACTGTTGCTGACCGGACCTGGAGTGGAGACGTTCCAGCATGTACTCGTAGTTGGGGATGCCATCGGCGGCGTAGCTGATGGCCGGTGCGATGACGTCAGCCAGCTCCATGGTGCCGTAGCGGTCCAGCAAGGAAATGAATGCGTCAACCACGCCCGGCAGGGTAAAGGATAGGGGAGCGTCCTTGCCGGGGCCGGTGGGGATACGTTTGTGGCCCCGGGACCGGTAGAAATCGGCGGTGGCCTTGCCGGGCGCTGTGCCCTGCCCCGAGAGAGCCAGCAGGTCTCCGCTGGCAGAGTCATACAGCATGAAGACGCCTTCGGCGGCCAGGGAATAGGAGGCGATGGGTTCGACAACAGCGGCGGCGAATCCGGCAGCCACCACGCGTCGAAGGCGTTGCCGCCGGCCAGCAACATTCGCATACCGGCCATGGACGTAAGGTAGTGGCCGGAGGAGATGACGCCCTCGGTGGAGCGCACCACCGGCCGGCCGGTGGCGGGCAAAGATACGTCGCCCTGTTCCAGGTTGTGATGAGTTTGTGCGCTTACCATCTCGGCTCCTTCTTTTGCTGACGTTGAGAATGTGCCATCTTTATTTGCCAACTTCACCGACGAACTTGCGACAGTTCCTAAACCGAAGTCTGGGTAACCACGCTCGGCGCAACCCTGCGGGAGAGCCAGCGCCCGTCATCGGCGCTGCCGTGGAGCTGGCCGTCGCGGACTATCACCTTGCCGCGCAGCAGCGTCATTATCGGGTAGCCTTCGCACTCGAAGCCGTCCCAGATGGAGTAGTCGGATTCGGCGTGCAGTTCGTCCACCGTTATGGTCTTCTTGAGATTCGGGTCGAAGATAACGATATCAGCGTCGCTGCCCACGGCAATAGCGCCTTTCTGGGGGTACATGCCGAGAATCCTGGCGGCGTTGGTGGAGGTGATGGCGGCGAACCGCTGCAGGTCTATGCGCCCGGTGGCCGCCAGCTTGGTATAGGTTACGGGCATACGGGTCTCGATGCCGTTGTGTCCGCCGCAGAGGGTGCGAATGGTGTCGCCGGCCAGCTTGACGTTCTTGTAGGTGGTCCATTCGTCCGTTGCGGTGGTGCAGATGGGCCCGTCCACCAGTCCCTGTTGCAGCGCGTCCCGGTCGTCGGAGAACTTGATGGCCGGGTAGGTGTGGATGGCGAGGCCGTCGGGCTTCAGGTAATCGTCGCAGGTGAACTCCAGGTAATTGTGCAGGGCCTCGCCGTAGACGGGCAGTTGCTTGGCCCGGGCCTCGGCAATGGCGGCCACGCCCTCCTTGGCCGTGGTGTGGACGAAGTAGATGCCGGTCTCGGTGCTCTGGGCCAGCCGCGTGACCTTGCGGAAGGAAATGTCCTCGGAAATGTTGTTGTGGGCCAGGTGCAGGTTGGAGCCGTGGTCGCGGCCCTCCCGTTCCAGCTTTTCCTCCATAAAGGTTACGATGTCGTCCTCTTCGGCGTGGACTGCCATTATGCCGCCGTACTTGCCCACTTCCTGGAAAATCTCCCACAGATGACCCATGGGGACCCGGGCGTGGAAAGTGGTGAAAATCTTGAAGCTGGCTACGCCCGACTGGATTGCCTCGCCAATCTCACCTATGGCGCTGGGCGGGACGGCCCCAGCGAGAATGTAGTGGAAGGTGTAATCGGTGTAGGAGTGTCCCCGGAAGGTATCCCGCCGCGTACCAATCTGGTCCATGATAGGGACGGCGGAAGGGACCGCCCCCGGCGTCAGGGGCAGCGCTCCGGCGAAGTCCACGTAGGTGGTGACGCCACCAAAGGCGGCAGCGCGGCTGGCGGCCTCGGGAGGTTGGGTAAAGACCCCGGCATCGCCCCCTGCCCAGTAATCAGGCACCGGCACATTGATGTGAGCGTGGGGTTCGATACCGCCGGGCAGGACAATCATGCCGGTGGCGTCAATGGTCTCCGCCGCTTCCAGGTCATCCAGGGCGCCTGGAGAAGCCACCGCCGCGATCTGCTCGCCCTGAATGCCCACATCCATGAGGCCGGCGCCGGCGGGTGTAACCACAGTCCCGCCCCGGATAAGCAAGTCCAGCATGATTACCTCCTGAATTGACGCTTTTCGTCAGAATGGCTAATCAGGGATTGCGCAAGAAGTCGGCAACTCGGTCGATTATAACGCAATGAACCTGGATACACCCGACGCGCCTTTGGCAGGGGTAATCGTGAATGTCGTGCGACTACGGTTTCCTTGTTATCAGTGTGGGAAGGACCGGCGGCAGTTTCGTTGGCTGGTATTGTTGGCTGGTATTATGGAAGCAGCACCACGGCAATCGTCAGGCAGGTGGTTAGGGCTGGAACAGGCTGTGCTAGGCTGAATCGGCCAGGCCCTCACTCCAAGACCAATCAGGAGCAATCTCTATGACTTACGAATCGGGCATCATCACTACGGTTGTGGGCACTGGGGAACGGGGTTACGAAGGCGACGGCGGTCCGGCGACAGCGGCGCTGCTGAGCGAGCCCTTCATGTGCGCCTTCGACACCGCTGGCAACATGTACCTGGCCGAGGCGACGAACCATTGCATTCGCCGCGTCAACCGCGACAGCGGTGTCATTGTTACCATAGCCGGCACTGAGAGCAGGGTTATTCCGGAGACGGCGGCCCAGCCACGCAAGCTACTTTCAACCAGCCCTATTCCCTGCAGGTGGACAGCAACGGCGACGTCTATGTAGTTGACCGCCTTAACTACGTCATCAGGAAGATCGAAGCCGCCACCGGCCTCATCACCACCGTGGCCGGTACCGGCGAGGCGGGTTACGGCGGCGATGGGGGTCCTGCCTCGGAAGCGCAATTCCGGGAACCCAACGACTGCTTTCTTGACGGGCGCGGCGGATTGCTGATAACCGACATCCAGGACCAGCGGGTGCGCCGCCTCGACCTGGCCTCGGGGGTTATCACTACCTTCGCGGGTAACGGGGTCAAGGAGCGGATCGGTGACGGGCTGCCCGCCCTGGAAGCCAGTATCCTGGGCGCCCGGGCGGTGTGCATGGACGGCGCTGGCAACACCTATATCGCCGAGCGCGAGGGCAATGGCATCCGCATGGTGGACGCCCGGGGAATAATGCAGACGCTGGCCGGCACCGGCGAGTTCGGCTACGACGGCGACGGTGGCCCGGCCAGGGAAGCCACCTGGGGCGCCCCCAAGGCCATCCGCTGCGACCCCGCCGGCAACCTGCTGGTGGTAGACACCGAGAACCACGCCATCCGCCGCATCGATGCCGCCACTGGTATCGTCACCACCATCGCAGGAGGCCACCTGGGCGGCGAGGGGGACGGAGAAGAAGCCACCAGCGCAGGTATGGACCGGCCCCACGGCCTGGACCTGGACGCCGCAGGCAACATCTACATCGCCGACAGCAACAACCACCGGGTAAGGGTGGTGGGGGTCGGGTGACAAATTATAGTTAGCACGAGGTCTGTCTGGAGAACACGCCAAATGCGTCTTGGGGTTAGCGTTGTGGACTCACTGCATTCATTTAACAATGCACTTCGGCGTAAACTCTGAAGGGCCTTGCTCCGGCACCTCCTTGCCCGCCGGTTAACCCAGGCCCACCGGTATTTCCAACACCGCCGGCTCTACCAAAGAATATGAAGCGCTGTATCTCTCCCTTAATGTCAGCACTTGTCTCAGGTATGCTAATTCGCAAGCACATGCCGGCCGTTACCGGATCTGGTTCGACATTCCATGTGTATTCTAATCCTTGAATAAGCGGAAGCACTCGTTCAAGTGTCCCAAGGTTCTGATGGATCCCAATATGATCAACTGCTTCTTCGGCAGCAGAACGGTAGCAATCTCTAGCCTCCTCGAGCTTTCCCATTGACAATAGAGCAGTTCCTCTATTGTAGGCAGCATTTGTAGAATACAGACCTATCACCTCCTCATAGTCGTTAATGGCTTTCCCAAATTCGTAAAGGTCGAAGTAGGAATTCCCTCGATTATAGAAAGAGTGCGACGAGCTTGGATTAAGCTTTATGGCCTCTGTGTAATCTTGGATCGAACCTTGATAGTCTGATTGCACTGACTTGGAGTTTCCCCTGTTAAAATAAACCGTGTCCCAATGACTGGGGTGAAGTTGAGCCATATAATTGACAGCTTTGTCAAAGTCTTCAATTGCTTCTCTATGCTGTCCAAGAGCGGCTTTTGCGTTGCCACGTAGCAAGTAAGTCAAAGCCCGAATCCGGCGCTAATTCAATGGCTCTCGTATAAGCTTCCGCCGCCTCTGCGTACTCTTCGCTTTGGTAGTGCTGATTACCCCGCCGGGTGTAAGTTTCCGAAGAAAGTCTCGGAACAGGCGTCCTATTGCTGGCTTGAGCAAACCCATATATGTCCTGGAATAAAGATCCTTGGTGGAAATCGAGGGTTTCTAACGCAGCTCGGAGTTATGTTGTTGTCCAGCGATTACGTCCCCTGTTTTGAAAAGCGAAAATGTCACCATGGTTAGTCGGCGGCGATTTGGACTTCGGCCAGGGCCTCGGCCTTGGCCCGTTCTTTGGCGCTGAGCAGTTTGGTGGGCGGACTGTCGGCTTTAAGGTATTTCCCGACGGTGTTCTTTGCCATGCCCAGTTCCCTGGCGGTAGCCCGCAGGGAGAGTCCCCGGCCTTGCGCCTGCTGCACCGCCTCCCAACGGGCCTGCTGGGTGGGAGTAGGTGTGCGGTGCAACCGGTGGCGCACCGGTTTTTCTTTTCCGCCCCGACCCTTGCCGGTGGCCTTCCTGGCCTTGGCCCGCTTCTCCACTGAGGAGTCCAGTCGGCCAGGAGCTTTTGCTGGTCCTCATCCAGGTGGCTGCTGGCCAGGCCACTGGCCGTCTCCCGTTTGTCTGCGCTGGGCAAGAGGCCGGTGCCTTCTCCCCACAGGGCTGCGGTGGGTTGAGCGGCCTCCTGAAAATCTACAGCCTCCCCCTGGTACCGGAGCATCAGCTCCCCGTCGGCCCGTTCCAGCAGGTCCACCCGGAGACCGGCATAGGAAGGCCGTTCCTCACCAGGGAGCAACTGCAGGACCCGCCAGTGGTACTTCACCGTGTTATCACGGGCCACCTTGCGGGTGTGGTGGATGCAGATGCTCTCGGTGAGGGACAGGTCGGCAGGTACCGGCCGGTAGGCCTGCTCCGGCTGCTCCGCCGCCACGGAGAAACGAGCGTTGAAGCGGGGCAGATATTCCTGCAGGACGGCATTGGCCTCTTCCATGGTAGTAGCGCCGGCCAGCCGCAGCTCGGTGACCAGCCGGTCCTGGAAGGTGGACGCCATCCGCTCGACACGTCCCTTGGCCTGGGGAGAAAGGGCGAAGATCTGCTGGATGCCCAACTCCTGCATCACTCGGGCGAACTGGGTGGACTCGTAGAGCACCGTTCCCTGGCGGGCGTTGTACTTGAAGGCCGCGTGGCGGTCACTGTAAAGAGCCAGGGGGATTCCCCACTGCCGGACCAGCCCCTCCAGCAGAACCAGATAGCCCCGCGTGTCCTCGGTGGGATGGAAGACCGCCTGGGCCACAGTGCCGGTGGCGTCGTCCACGGCGAGGAGCAGCACGAACTTGTCTGCCCGGTCCTCCAGCCAGGGATGGGGGCTGCCGTCCACCTGAATAAGCATCCCCTCCTGGGGCATGCGCTTGCGGCGGAACCGGTGCTGCTGCGACCGGCGACTGCGGGGGCTGCCCAGGCCGGCCTTCACCAATATGCGGCGCACCGTGGGACGGCTCAGGTCGATCCCCTCCCGTTCCTGCAGCAGTTCGGTGAAGTGGCTGTGGTTGGCGCCCGCGTAGCCGTTGCTGGCCAGCTTCACCACGGCGGCCGCGGCGTCTTCTGGCACGGCGTTGTGGGGCCTCCGTCCCCGGTTGCCGTGGGCCAGCGCCGTGACCCCTTCCTTTCTGTAGGCTGCCAGCAGCCGTTTGGTGTGACGCTCACTGATTCCCATGATCTCCGCTGCCTGCCCTATCGAAAGGTGCTGTTCCAGCACGGTGTTGAGTACCTGGATTCTTGCCTGTTCTCGCTGTTTCAATGTCACTTCCCTCATGGGTGACTGCGATGATTGACCGAGCCACCTCGGCTCAGGTCTGACCCTTGGGGTGACTGGCTGTCGTGCCTTCAAAATGATCTGTCGACTTGGCGCCGGGTGGGTGCTTAAAGAGTGAAAAGGTTCAGGTGAGCAGTGACCTAATAGGAGCTTGGCCTCAGGCCCCATCGCAGTCTTGTCCGCTCATCTGGCCTGTGTGTCACCCAGCAGGAGGTAGAAATGACTGGCGCCGTAAGATACGAAAAGGGGATCTCCGACCAGATATTGTAGGAGTCGATACTCACCAGGAGCGGCACGTGGCCGTGGCCATTGACCGGCTGGCGTCCGCCTGGACCAGCAGGAAGCGCCAGCAACCACGTGCGGGTATCAGGAAAGCGAGCGGTGGGCCCAAGGCATAGGCGGGTCCGTGCTTTCGGAATTGAAGGCACGGGTTCCTACGGCGCTGGGGTAGCCCGCTTCTTGACCGGCCGGGGCCATGCCGTTGTCGAGGTCAACCGGCCTGACGGTCAACCACGCTATCGGAAGGGAAAGAGCGGACCCCCACCGACGCGGAGATGGCGGCACGGGCCGTGCTCGCCGAGTGGCCAATGCTACCACCCCCAAGACAGGCCAGGGCGAAGTGGAAATGATCAGAATGCTCAAGGCGGCCAAGGACTCGGCCATCAAAGCCCGCACCCAGGCCGTCAACCAGATGAAGGCTCTGCTGATCACGGCTCCTGCCGCGCTTCGGGAAAGCCTGGAGGGTCTCGCCGTGGGTGCATTGGTCACCAGGTGCAAGACCTCGGCCCGGTCCCTTAGTGGATCCTACGGCGG